AAGGAGAGAGTTGAGATCGATGGACGCGGAAGTGTTGTTTCTTTGTCTCTTCCCCCTCTTCATTTGTGTACATACATTTTGATTACGGCTCCGGGCGGTTTGCACGTTCTTATTTTCGTTTCGGCTTTCTGAAATCTGTACTTGGATTTTTGCTCACATTTGTCTTCGCGATGTCCGTTTTTGCTTGCATTATGTGTATGATTGTCGAATGTATGGATGCATGAATGTTATGCCAGCTAGCCTACCTCTTTTGCGGAGAACCCCTGCCCTTGCTTTTGTTTATGCCGAATCTTTGCTTGCACCGGATACAGCGATAGATGGGATAAGAATCTGGCCCTGATGTCGACTTCGTTCTCGTTTTTGCTTGTCCCATGATGAGGTTGTGGTATGATTGCATCTCGCATAACCAAGACTTAGGAATCTGGTCCCGAGAGTAGGTTTGTTCTCGTTCTACTTATCTCATGATGGGGATTGTGTTATGGTTGCATCTTGCATAATCGACGATCCGAAGTCTGGCCCCGTGAACGCCGCGCAAAAACACGTATAAACGCGATCCGAGTCGCGCCCTTACACGCATTCCCGTACATCGATTCGCCCGCCTAGACAGGACTCGCGGCGAAGCCGCCATCCCGCACGAGCATGCCAGGGCGCAACTAAGTTCGCCTGTCCAACATGTGCTCATGCGCAGTGACGATATCCCGACCCGCGCTATCACACCGGCGATGACACCATGACGCGATCTTGGGGCTCAGACTCATCCTATGACCCAAACTATTTCACCCCTATAATAAACGAGTTCATAAGGACACGATACCCCTGTCACATGGAGAATCGGCTATGTCCGCGGGAATTCCACTGTGCCACCAATAGTGACCCTCGGTGCTCCGATTTCCCTTCCCCCGACCACACCTACTACTTCACCCACCCAGGATTCGTTGAGATCACCACTAGTTTCCCTCCTTTCCGCCTCCTTCTTCCGTATCATCAACTCAGTGTCATTCCGTGGCCGGCCATAGCCCCATATTGGCCCCATACGTTTTGCATGAACTGCCGACGCAACGGCGCGCAGAGCACTCCGGAATTCCGAAGGCCCAACCCAGGTACGCGGCGGCCTGCGCCATGTGGCGGCCCCCGACGGCCTAACTTTTCAGGACCACCTCCACCACGGAGGAATTTTCCCGTAACCCGTTGTCCACAGTGTTCTGGTCCCTTGGGACTATGAGACCCTTGCGTGCGCACCCCTCGCTCGCCCAATTGCATTCATATCCTTAATACTCCCCCACTTCCCCAAAAAATCCTTGGCACACCCCTTTTCGCACTTTCAGGCCCACACTCCACTCCGATCAGGAAGTCGCGCTGGGCGTGAGGTTGGTATCGGAGCCCAACACGTGGCTAGGGTCTTAGGATTGATAGCATGTAAATTAAGCGACCTGGCTAACCGTGGGCGACCTCGCCCTCGGAACGCGCATAGACGCGACACTATCGTCACCAGAAGCAGATCGGCTAACCGACGAGCAGCCAATATGGCTGCCAACGTGCAAAATCCAGTTCCGCAACAAAATGTTAATCCACCTAATCAACCTGCCCCATGTGCTTGAGCTCCCATGTCGCCACCAAATCTCTATCTATTTGATCCGACGCATCATCTCGCAGGAGCATGGCTGGCCACGCTTAAAGCACAGCATTACGATGATCACGAAGCACAGATCAACATTCCGGCTCGAATGGGAGGAGACGCTCATAAATGGTATAATACCTATGTGTGGGTGTACCTCCCGACCTTCGAACGAGATTTCATGAACCGATTTGATTATGTCCACCCTGAGCAAGCGCTGTACATGATCAACGACCGAGTGCAAAAACCGCTCGAATCCGTCGCGGAATATCGAAACCGGTTCTACAGAATGTTCGTAAAAAATGAGCGAGGTGAGCAAGTAGGGAGAGATTTGTTCATTGACGGACTCCGCAGTCGAACAATAAGGGCTAAGTTGCGAAAGCAGTTTTCCCCCATCACACATACGCTACAACAAATTATGGCTGCTGCGGAAGAAATGGAACGGGAGTTCGCAGCGAACTTCCTGGAAGGAGAAGATTACCCTAGAGACGGAGATTTGACCGAGCTCGCTCGAGCAAGAGCAGAGCTGGCCGCTTTATAGAACAAATTTGAAAACATGGGGTTTGTATCAGGACCTGTCACCTATATGGAACAGATAGGCCCCAAACGAGTAATCCTAAGTGAGACTTCGAGCATCTCTGCTCCTATGATGCCCCCGCCTATTAAGGCATTACCCCCGCCGCCGGTAGAGGCTCCTGTACGATCAAACGAATCGGCAATCATTTTCGAACTAACCAAAATTTTGATTGGTTTGATCCAAGAAAGCAAAAAGAAACAGCGAGAGCACAATGCTCGGCTGGAAGCCATGATGAGGAACATGCGACCTATTGCGGTGCATGCCCCTCCGATGCAACAAGGATTAGCCCCTGCCCCTGCTCTCGGAGGAGCTGCGAACAATCTGAATGTTTGCTACGCCTGTCATCAGCCCAGACATCTAGCCCGTGATTGCCCCCACCGACCCCCACAACAGCGGATTGGAGACGCACCTATGGTTGCGGCCCCCATCGCCAACGGACCTGGACGAGTCGGAGCCTTGATGGACGAAGTAGATGGTGGGGGAAGTGCCTTGGCTACCACGGAAGAGGCCGCCGAGCTAATTTCCCTAGATCAGTATGTGTCGCTGGGATATCCTGAGCTAGGAATGATCGAAACAATCAGACCAGTGCCAGAACAAGAAGAGGTGGCGGAGTGGCGACCATCCTTAGGAGAAATGGAGTCGGGAGGACCCACCTTCGTCACAGGAGAGATCGATGTACTACACATCATCCGAGCCTTGGACCATCGGATTCCCCTTCCGATCGGTCATCTACTCTCAATCTCCGAGCAAGCCAATGAGCGAATGTTACAGCACTGTAAAGCGAATCGAAAGCGATTTGCTCTCGCCCGAGCACCGAACGTAAAAGCCAAAGGCCCCGCTCCGGAAGAAAACCCAACAAGCACTCCGGATCCGATACGAATAGGATTAATTCAGAAAGACGATAATTTCCTACGGATTAAACCCATTCCGTGGAAATCCGCAGAGTGCGATATAAAAATTTGGGGAATTCCTTACAACGCCATTATAGACTCAGGAGCAGCTGTGTTGGCTATTTCACTGAGAGTGGTCGAAAGGGCAGGCAGGAAAAACGATCTGATCATGCTCACCGAGAAAGATTAGCTCGTTTCGGCAGATGAGGAAAAAATTAAAACTGTGGGGAGAATGAGCAATGTCGCCTTTCGATTAGGAAAAGTACACGAGCTTGGGGATGTCGTAGTACTGGATGTTAATACGTACGATGTTCTTTTCGGACTTCCCGCTCTTGTGGCGTTACGAGCAAACCTGGATTTCGAACGACGATCGATCGTCCTCCGAAATACAGGAGGAAAACCCTACGCTGTGCCCATGCGATTGACCCTTCGCACTACTATTAACGTGGTTCCACGGGTTTCACCGATGATGGTAGAGACTCTTCGCATGATCTCCTGGGATGAACCCGCAGAAGGGAAGCCATCAACTGATGATGCGGAAAGCAGTGACGAAGATGATCCGGAGATCTTGAAATTGGTATGACAACGCATTTACTACCCGCCGCCCAAAACGCTAGCGAGAACGATGCAACTGACCAGCCGAAAAATTCAAAGGTCCAAGGCGATGATCTTGGGAGAGCCCCTCGTACAAATTTCGAGGATGGTCGACTCTTCGGAACCCCCTCAAACTCTGTACGAAGGGATCACCCCTCTTCTCGCCCGGTACAGCGACAAGAAACATTAGTGTGACATTACGGATTTACCCAAGTCCCTACTAACTTCGGCTTAAGAAGTGAGACTGTTACGCTTGGGGGCGGAAGCAAACTCTCTGGAACCCCCTGGGCGTTTTGAAGCAGAAACAGACGGACTGGGGATAAAGATTGCGACTAAGGAAGTGCCATGGCAGGATGTTTGTGACGGGATTGCCCCGGAAGGACACGTGGCAATCCGAGACGAAGATGCTCAGATGATGGCCACGGTGTTCTCCTGGCGATCGGATCATTCATTCATCTCGGCGCCTCCACCCGACCTGACAAAACAGGCGAACAAGAAACAGATTGACGTTCGGATTTAGGACCAACTTTTTGAGCTGCACGTTCCACAATATGTGCCGGATGAAATCCACCGGGTGATTGCGGATATTCTAACGGAATACCAAGGAACAATTAGTGTGTCAGACACTGACATCGAGTTGTCGTTAGTAATCCAATATGAAATTCAGACAGGAAATCACTCCCCGATTCATTGCAAACCTTATCGTTATTCCTTGATTGAACGCAAAAAGACTCTCAAACGAATTCGGGAGTTCGAAGCCAGTGGTTGGATTGAACGCGCTACCGGACCTTGGTCCTTTCCCGTAGTATTAGTGCCCAAGAAAAACGGGGTGATTCGCATTTGCATTGATCATCGCATGCTGAATGAAATCACGATCAAAGATGTGTATCCCCTCCCCCGGATTGATGATTTGTTGGATGTGATTGGGTGCGCTAATTATTTCAGCAAGTTTGATATTCGGCATGGCTTCCATCATATTCTGGTAAGGGAAGAAGATCGACCGAAAACGGCCTTTGTGTTGTTTGAGGACACGTGGCAGTGAGTTCGGTATCCGATGGGGATTTGCAATGCGCCTCCCACGTTTCAGCGAGCGATGAACACGACGTTCCAGAATTTCGTCAACAAGACACGGCTGACGCAAGGGATGATCAACTTCTGTGTGATCGTGTACATGGACGACATCCTGGTCTATTCGGAGACCTATCACGGACACGCGCAACACATCGAGTGGACATTGGGCGCACTGAGAGATGCTGGGTTCAAGATTGCGCTTGAGAAAAGTGAATTTTTCCTCTCGAAAATTTCGTGCTTGGGCTACGTCGTGACACGTGGAGGATTGCGGCCGGACTCGAGAAAAGTTGCGGCGGTGAAAGAAGCCCCGGTTCCCACGTCACTGACGCAGGTTCGAGCCTTCTTGGGGCTGGCGTCGTACTACCGACGCTTCATTAGGGGCTTTTCCGTGATTGCACGACCACGAACGAATCTGTTACGGAAGGACCAGCCTCTCAATTGGGACGCGGAGTGCCAGCAAGCCTTTGCAACCCTCAAAGACGTTCTGGCAACGGCCCCTATTTTGATTCGGCCGGACCCCTCGAAGCAGTTTAGTCTCATCACGGACTGGCAACCGGAAGCTATTTCCGCTATTCTAGCACAAAAGGGGAACGATGGTCGCGAACACGTCATCGAGTACGCGTCTCGAACCGTATCGGACGAACGAAGAAACGACTCCACACCTCAAGGCGAGTGCTATGCGGTAGTTTGGGGAATCCAGCACTTCCATCCGTATATCTACGGACATAAGTTTCACCTCGTAACGGATCACGAGCCTCTGCTAGCGCTGAAGAAACTCACCAACTACAAGGGCATGATTGGCCGTTGGGCGGCGCGACTACAAGAACACGACTTCGATATCGTCCATCGAAAGACCGAGCGGCACGGCAACGCGGACGGGCTGACACGTCTGCACCGACCTGTCAAAGTACCGAAGGGCGAGGAAATTACACCGTGGAAAGAGTCGGACTTGAATAATGAGCCGAAATACGGACAAGTGACAGTTCTCCCACGTGGCAAGAAGCAAAACGGTGGCGATGGGTGATGGAGGTAACCCCACTACCCCTCTTTCTCCCCCTTCCTCCTCGTCTCTCCTCTCCCTGCCTGACAAATTTTGCTATTTTTGCGAAGCCATCTCCCACGTCTATTCGGTCTCCATGCGTCCTAACGAGGAGGGATATGCGGATTGGATAGATTGCCGACAATGTATCGCACGAGCCCATGGGTCGTGCATCCAATACAGAAACGATAGTAAACCGTGGTTGTGCCCCTTGTGCCGGACCGACAAGACTCCAACAGAGGCTCGCTTTTTGGATGCCACGTCAGAAGGATTGGAAAAGACCCGAAAGTTTAGAAGGGCCGAAGTATGGACGGATATTGCCTTAATTGCCACCCGAGTAGGTAACCCCCTCCAGGATTTCACCAAGGAAGATCGGAGGAGGGCCAACGAAAGGGCTCGGGATTATTGATGGATAGAGGGTAGATTAGAAAAACGAAAAACGGACGGCAGTGGGATTTGGATGGTGGTGCCGCATCCATTCATGTGGTATGACTGGGTTAAGACAGCCTACGAGGAAATTGCGGCTCATTTTGCTGTATGAATCACGGAGTCCGCTATCGACAAAAATGAGTGGTACTGGTCCAATATCCGCGACGATGTGAAATACATCGTCGCCACCTGTCAAGTCTGCGCCGCTGATAAGGCGTCGATTCAGCCACCAAGATCGATAGTGCCCACGGTTGTTGAACGACCATTTCAAAGAGTGAGCATGGACACTACCGACATAGTGGTGCCCCCTGGCCCTAATAGCTGCGAATATTCAATCCTATTGGTATATGTCGACCATTTCTCGAAATGGATCGAAGCGTATCCTTGTCGCACGCGGCAAGCCACAGAAATCGCGCGATATGTCAACCGTTTCCTCAGGATGCATCAGGATACGGAAGAGATCCTGATCGATAACGGGGCTGAATGCAGAGGAGAAGTGTTAAAGAATCTGGTCATACATGGCGTCGCCACATGTCACAATCCAATGGGCTGGTCGAAAACGCCAACCGGGTGATAAAGACCACATTGCGACGAAATATCGCGGCACGGGATCCGAGGCCCTGGTCCGACATCGTCGATCACATCCTGGCGGTCCATCGCGGAACGCCCCACGAATTGACGGGGCTAAGTCCCTTCCAATTAAGGACCAATAGCGTCGCTTGCGTTTCAATACCAAGCCTCCCAGATGAATCTACATTGAACCGACGGCCCACCAGGGCCACGGCTAGGGACAAGGCCAAACGGCACCTAGAGCTAATGGAACGGTCACTACCCAGGCTGGCCCGAAAACGACAGAAAATGACCGAACTAGCCCAAGGCCGACAGGTTCGAAGTTACGAGGCCCGGAATGGGAATGCAGGTCCGCGGCCCCAGTACAAATTACGGGACATCGTGCAGGTGCGGAAATGTGCTCGCCAAGGTAAGCTAGCGCCACGATTCTTCGGGCGATTTAGCGTGATCGAACTCAGACCGAACAGTGTGAACACCGTGCGACTTGCGTCCGAGGTGTCCGACAGCCGATCGGCTCGACTAATCATCCGCCACGTATCCTACCTCCGTCCCCTTCCTCCTTCCCCATCTTCGCCTCCAACTGATTCCTCCTCCTCCGAAAGGGAAGGCGACGACTATCTCTCTCCCCTCCCTCCGTTTCCTTCCGGTTCTCTCTCTCTTACCCCGACATCATCGCCATGAGCTTTGTGACGGAGCAAGTGATCGGCGCGCGGCTTCTTACTCCGACGGGGCGAATCAGTGTCATACGGCAAGTGCAGCGGCCCCATCTCTGCTCGGATCTCCTCCGGTTTGCGGCTTTCTTCAGTACGACGACGATCTACGCGGCGATAGAGTTCCGATTCGCAAAAGAAGCAACTACGCGCGTTCTGGCCGAGATCTCGGCCTTTCGACGGCTATCCCCTCCCGGGATTAGCCATATCGCCGTCATTGTCGTCTTTACAGGGGATATCATAGCGATTCCAACGGCGAATCACTCCAACGTCTATCGGACGTTGCACGATGGTCTGGGGAAGTGAGGACGACGTGGACGGATCTTCTGGCTCGACGAGGAGACACCATCGTACCGGCGCATGACACGGATCTCCAGCTCCGCTCGTCTCGAAGCTCGCCCGCGATCGTGCTTCCGGAGCTTCGTCCCTTCGAGCCGCCCCAATGAGTCATCGTCGCGTCTCCTATTTCGGCCTCCCCTCCAGCATCCCCACCCTTTGGCAGTCTGTGCGGGCTCCCACCCTCTCCTACCGAGTTAAGGAGAACAGTGCGCCGCTATTGAGTGGGGAGAAGTGGGACGAGTGGTGGGAGAACTATATCGAGTTCGCTTTCTGCCTATTGGAGATAGAGTTCCGCTGGTCAGAGGCGGCCCCATTCGGAGAAGGGCCGAAGCACCCAGAAGACAGCGTGGAGTTTCTGATCATCCAAGCCTGGAGGACAGTGGAGCAGGGCGACCTGCTGGGATTTCTGTTTGGGAAGGTGGAGGAGGGCAATCTCACCTTGATCACGGACGAGTTGCTGGTGTTTTTGACTCAGTTGGCGGACGATCTGCCCCTGGACATCTTGTCGCACAGTGACAAGCAGCCTGGCACCCACGTGCTGTCTCGAACGCTCGAGCCGCACCTTGTGTGGTCCACGTGCACGGAAATCGACGAGGACAATTGTCTCTATCCCTCCCAGGCGCTCTACTTGGAGATCGACGTTACCGATCTCACGTTTTGGGACCCGATTGCGAGACAAAATGTGGTGCAGGACGAGGAGATAAGGGGAGCAGACGAAGAAGAGAAAGACGAAGAGCCATCAAGTGAGGAAAGAGACGATTCGGACTACGTACCAGAAAGAGAGGCAGGGATAGCCGACGAATCAAACCAGCCGCAGGCGCAGGACGAGGGGGTGGAACCAGAAGAAGAAGAAGGAAGCGGGTTATCAGGATCGGAGTGCGAAGTATTCGAGGCTGAAGTGCGCGACGCGGCGCGAGAACGAGCACGAGAGCGGAGGAAACGGAAGTGCCAGGAAACCACGGAGGGAAAGCGACCCGCAACAAACGTGTCCTCTGTCGATCCGTCGATCGGGGACCCGTGGCGTGATCCAGAGCCGCCATAAGAGGAAGACGATGGAACCACAACAGAGGGATCACGGAGACGACGAAGAAGAAGAAGTGAATCGCCAGCTCCCTCCGGCTCCCCGTCCCGATCCTCCCTTCGTCTAAATCAAGATCTCTGCGTTCGGGCTTCGTCCCCCGTCATTCTCTCGCCGACCCCGTGACTACCTCATGCTCACCTGCCTTCCCCATAGACCCCCGTTTCCCGATGGATGGTGTCCCTTCCCCCATCACCTTTTCTACCATCTCTACGCTACCCGCCTTCTAGTCTCCGTCTATCCACACGTCACTACTCGCTCTGTGGTTGATTCCTTTCTCCTTCATGTGCTCCTGTTTAGCGCAGACTGGCGGGAATATAACCACG